TGTTTAAGTAAAGAATATCACTGTATACCTGAAGATGTAGTACTTTGAAAAATTTGCCTCTTGAATGGTCTCTGTTCCTTATTTTCTATTCCTCTTATACCCCATGGTCATAGATATTGAGCTCTACTATGCAATATGGATGAATACTTTCAGTGCAAAAATAGCTTTATTATTCTTATATTATACTTATCTTCTTAGTCACAGTATTTCTTGCAAAAATTGGCTCTCCCCATACACATATGTACCCATCTTTTTAGAAAGAATGAAAAATGGAGAAAGACTGTAGTGTTAAAAGTTACGAGGATAATTAATGAGCTAAAAAATATACAGGTTAACTAGGGTTATAAGATCAGATACAGGCTGGCGCCATGGCTCACTAGGCTAATCCTCCGCCTTGCGGCGCCGGCACGCCGGGTTCTAGTCCCGGTCGGGGCGCCAGATTCTGTCCTGGTTGCCCCTCTTCTAGGTCAGCTCTCTGCTGTAGCCAGGGAGTGCAGTGGAGGATGGCCCAAGTGCTTGGGCCCTGCACCCCATGGGAGACCAGGAGAAGTACCTGGCTCTTGCCATCGGATCAGCGTGGTGTGCCGGCCACAGTACGCTGGCCGCAGCAGCCATTGGAGGGTGAACCAACGGCAAAGGAAGACCTTTCTCTCTGTCTCTTTCTCTCTCACTGTCCACTCTGCCTGTCAAAAAAAAATTAAAAAAAAAAAAGATCAGATATATTGGCCGGCGCCGTGGCTCAATAGGCTAATCCTCTGCCTTGTGGCGCCGGCACACTGGGTTCTAGTCCTGGTCGGGGCCCTGGATTCTGTCCTGGTTGCCCCTCTTCCAGGCCTGCTGTGGCCAGGGAGTGCAGTGGTGATGGCCCAAGTGCTTGGGCCCTGCATCCCATGGGAGACCAGGTGAAGCACCTGGCTCCTGCCTTCAGATCAGCGCATTGCACCGGCCGCAGCGCGCCAGCCATTGGAGGGTGAACCAACGGCAAAGGAAGACCTTTCTCTCTCTCTCTCTCTCTCACTGTCCACTCTGCCTGTCAAAAAAAAATCATATATAGATCTCAAGGCCTAGAAACTGGGATTTTATTGCCCTTAAAAAGACTGATTATAAGGCCACTTGAGGTGGGAATTGGGTATAGATCTTTGCATATAGCCAGACAATAGAAAGTGTGCCTCTTCAGTGAAAAAGAGTCTATAAAAAATAGTAAACAATTTATAGGTTCAGAGAAGTGACAAGAAAGTTTATCTTTGGTCATGACTAGGGATGAAGTTATCATGAGAAATTAAAGGGTTAAATTTGCTTCAAATGGGAGTATAGACTCAAATTACTTATCCATCATGGCAAGAATCCCTAAACTAGGATATTAACATATAATTTTTTTTTCTAATTGGATAAAGCCTTTAGTTACTAAGCAGAGAAGAATGCAAAACCTCTTTAGCAGTTCTTTCACATACGTGTTACAATCCAAAAAATAAATCTTCGCTAAAGTTAGACCTAATCAAAATCTACTTAACACATAACAATCTACCATGAAGGATAATTTAAAAGATTAGACCATCAATAATTTGAGGTATAATAAAACATGAGAGAGTATAAAGAATGTATGTTTTAACAGAGACATCATTGAAAGGACATATTTTTAATGACAGTATAGGGGCCGACTCTGGCACAGTGGGTTAACACCCTGGCCTGAAGCGCCAGCATCCCATATGGGCGCCTGTTCTAGTCCCAGCCTCTCCTCTTCTGATCCAGCTTTCTGCTATGGCCTGGGAAAGCAGTAGAGGATGGCCCAAGTCCTTGGGCCTCTGCACCCACGTGGGAGGCCCGGAGGAAGCTTCTGGCTCCTGGCTTTGGATCAGCGCAGCTCTGGCCGTTGCGGCCAATTGGGGAGTGAACCAGCGGATGGAAGACCTCTCTTTCTCTCTGCCTCTCTTCTCTCTGTGTAACTCTCTGACTTTCAAGTAAATACATAAAATCTAAAAAAAAAAAAAAAAAAAAACCAGTATAAAAAAGATGGACATGATTTAAAAAGAACACAATGGAACATTTTAGCATTGAGAATGATAATCATTGAAAGTAAAGTATTAGTGAAAAAGGAAGAATAGACACAACTGAAAATAGAATTACAAGTCTTGGATACTCAGAGTTCACACACAAATTGAGTGTTGAAAATATAAAGGATGAAAGTTATGAAAAAGAAAACAAATGATTCTTAGATATAATAGCAATCAATATGAGTTTCAAAACAGTCGTTAGCTAGGTGGCTGTGTATCTCCAGGTTTCAGATGTACAAAGAATATCAATAAGGTAAAAATAAATCCAACATGTTGGTTTATTGTTCTTGAATGTGTCAAACCAATGTTAAACTACAGAGGTATTAAAAGCAACCATTAAGAAAAGACAGATCAGACCATAAAGGAATTACTATTAGACTAAGAGAGTTCATATTTGCAGTAAGGGCGCCATATTGCAGATGGATAATCTCTTCAAAGTGCCGAGAAATAACATTTGTCCTAGAACCAATTTTGTACTTGCTAATGAATATACAGTTAAGTACCTTTACCTCAAAATAAATTTCAGAATTAAAGAGTATAGAAAAAGAAAAAAGAAATTATACATGTATTAAGATTGTGAGTGTGTTAGACTTTCCACATATAAATCAAATGAAGGGGTCAGGGCTGTGGTGTAGCAGGTGAGACTGCCGGCTGTAATGCTGGCATCCCACGTGGGTGCTGGTTTGAGTCCCAGGTGCTGCGTTTCCGGTCCAGCTCTCTGCTATGGCCTGCAAAAGCAGTGGAATATGGCCCAAGTCCTTGGGCCTCTGCACTCGCATGGGAGACCTGAAAGAGGCTCCAAGCTCCTGGTTTAGGATTGGTGCAGCTGCAGCTGTTGCAGCCAGTTGGGGAGTGAACCAGCGGATGGAGGACCTTTTTCTCTCTGCCTCTCCTCTCTCTGTGTAACTGTGACCTTCCAATAAATAAATTAATCTTTAAAAAAAATCAAATGAAGATCTCATATAGGATTAAATAAACTTTAGATATAGTTAAATTTAATTTATAGATGTATATTGCCAAGAGTATTTATATTTATTTTTATACACTTCAAAATTCAGTCTACCTCTCATAAGTTGAGTCACAGGTAAATGTTAGATTTAACCCTAATAAAAAATGAAAGCAAATTCAACATTTATTTCTTGAGCTAAAATGAGTGAATTCATTTTTGATTTTTCACCATAGATATGAGGAAGATCTTTATTTTGGGTTCATTTCAAGTTATAATAAAAAGAAATGTTGGTCAGACAACTCATGCCCATGGTTGTGTTTCTACTTTCATACCTTTTCTCCTCTATTATTTTTCCTCCAATTTCAGTTTACAAAATTCAGTAATCAAAACAATCCAAATTCAGATGTCATCTGCTCCATGAAACATTATTTTCTTCTCATAGCCAAAACCATCTACCTTCCCTTTGAGCCCTCTTAGCTTATATTTAGTCATTATATTTTTGTACTTGTCGTAATAGTTCTGTATTAAAATTGAACATGTTCCAGGACTATTCTAGTAGAGAGTATCTCTACTAGATTGTGATACCAACTGCTGTGTTTTATTCATTTTCATGGTTCATGGTTTGAGTCTTCTCTAAACATTTTTATTTTTATTTCATTATTAGCAAGTATTTCAATTGTTATTGACTAAAAAGATGACATTTTAATGTGTAAATCCTTGTCTCCTCCAAATAAGGGCCAATGATATGTTTCACAACACTTTTGTATAATTTTTTAAATGTGTGGGTGAAGTAAGATGTCACATAGCACATGTTGAAATAGACATGACACTATAAAAGGATCTATCATTAAATTAGTCAATTCATAGATTTCAAAATTTTTGTACCAAAATAAATTTATCTTTTAATTACATTTTCATGAACTTTCTGATGTATCCTTATGTTTGTAAAATGTAGCTTTAACAAAATTACCTGATAGATTAAATTTTTATAATTTCAAAGGTCTTGATTTGTGGTCCTAATTTAATTTGTAAGTTTTCTTTGGTTTTATAATTATGTGTGCATGAGGTATGTATACTCAAATTGTTTATAAATATCTTGTGATCTAAGTCAATATGAAGAGTCTGGTAAGATTTTCTTTGGAAAAGATTTCTTTATTCAAAGTTTTGGAAATTCTGATACTGACTACATGATATTATAAAGATCAGAGGCAGAAGAAATCAATTTCAGAATAATAAGAAATGCCAATTTGGAATACAGTTGCATCTTGATTGCATCATAATAACTAATGATTTCGATTCGTTATAGCAACTAGCTATTTTTCAAATAACCAAGAAACATCTTTGTCCATCTCTTTAATCAATATATGCACTTATTGTTATTTTAACTTCCTAAGTTAAAACTAGATAAATTAAGGGTGATTTTTTAACCTTTTCCTAAAACATGAGTTTAGTACCTTATTCTTTTAGCCAGTCTCCCATGCCTCTTCATATTGTACTGATTTGCAGGATATCTGACTCTGTAATTGTGTAAAATATTTCAAATCTGAAATGTCTTCTAATGTATATTTTAATTTTAAAAATTAATAAATATGGATCATAGAATGCCATAATATAGTTTACTTAGGATCCAATGTGATTTTTAGAAGCATGCTTTGATTCAACCAACAGATAGATATATACATATATATATATATAGAACCATTTGTTAATGAAGAAAGAAGTTTTGAGTATAATGTGACAGTAATTTCACATAATACATATTTTTGTCATAACAGACTAATGAAAAACTGAAAATATAATTGAATTACCAGAGTGCTGTAAACATTTTTTTTTATTTGTGTTCAACAATTCAACAATTGTTTTACTCATCTTTCTTGTTGCAAAAAAAAGTCCTTGTCTTTTAGAGAATACAATGGTATTATTTACATTAATTCATGTGGCTTGGTGGGAAAAAAAATGCTATAACTCCTTTACTTAATGTGATTCTTCCCCTGTGGCAGTGCAAACGGCTAGAGCAGGAGCTTCATCATCTGAAAAAGCAGAACCAGACTTCAGCAAACAACATGAGACATCTGACTGCTGAAAACAATCAAGAACGTGCTCTGAAGGTAAATCTCCGTTCCTTCTTGCAGGCAAATTAAGGTTGTAAGCCCTTGGTGCCAGCCTTTGGTGCTGCATATATCAGTTGTGTACATTTCAGCAGAAGTGAGCTGTGGTGTTTGCCAACAACCCCTTCTTTAAACACAGATACAGCACCCTTCTGTTATGGTATTATTTTATTTCATGTATGCGTACATGAAAACAACATATTTTTGGAATTTTTAGTGGTGATATATTAATAACTTTGAGTACTTGTTCATTCCTTTTCTGCTTTTCTGTTAATATCTTTTATAGCTAATAAAAAGTGCCCACACTAAATGAAGAAATAATTAAATCATGGGCCTTTTCTTCATTGATATTCATTATAATAATTTTAAAGTGACTTGTAATATTAATAATGCATTGAACTGATATTCTTGAAAGACATTTTAACTATTTTGCAAATTTGAAGGAGTATTTAGACTATAACAACAGAAGAAAAAGATATTACATTCAACTAGGACTTGAAATAAGTGAAGAAAGGATTTCTTAATATCTCAGTGTAATGTAGATCTAGGAGACATGAAAAAAAGACATTGTTCCAACTTCTAATCATATGTACTTTTGAAGATACTTGTAACTTCCCATTATGATGTTTGTCCTTGCCCCACTTCCTAGTATAGTTCATGTGTTCCATTGTGTTCTTTACCCTCAAGGTGCTTGCATTCTTATGAATGGGTTGAGAATAAATCCATGGTGAACAGAAAAGATTATCATTGCTTTTATTATGAAGTAAGAAAATTGTATGCTTCTGTTGTCTTAAATATGTCTGCTTTACTGTCGATTGTAGAGAAATCCCAGAGCATTAGCAGTGTAAGTCACTAAGCCAGAGTTGAGAAAATTCAGGTATCAAAATTGATAAAAATGCTGACCTCTTGTTGTGGAAAATATTTTTAATCTGTCCAAAATGTATGCAGTTTAGTGGTAGTTAGGTATTTCTGCAAAATATGTTGAGCTTCATGTTTAAATTCCTAGTGTTGGGCATATAATAACATATTAATATTGATTAATGTATTTTTTCTTCTTTTGTATTGAATTTATATATAGGCCAGAAAGATAAATGAAAAAGGAAAGAATTACAGATTTTAGTGATTATTTTTAGTTCCTTTAAGGAATTTATTACTGGTGAAAATAAAGTATATTAATTTTAAAAACATATACTTGAAAATGACAAACAACATTGTTTTAAAGGCAGCTTCCTTAATGTATGCTAATTTATGATCAGTGTTAGGGGGCATAGTCCATGTACTCAATGTGATTGGCTATTTCCACTTAAAAAAACAACATAAAATAAAAATTCCAATTTGTTAAATGTGTAGTCATCACATGACCTTTTTTTCTTCAATTTGGGTTGTGGGTTTAAGTTAAATTTAATTAAATAGAAGTTGCTGTTTATGAGATAGAGATGCAGATTTATAAAAAGCTATTCAAATTAGAAGGAAATCAGTAGGCAAAAAAAAGACTTGAATGTTCAAAACAAAAACCAAACACAATTAAAAAATACTTTGTGTCGCTCCCCCTCTTCGCGGAGGAACGACACAGGACCCTGCGCTGTTCTTTCGTCTGCTCGGCCCTCCCCGGGTTTGTTGCTGGTCCTTCCCGGGTTGGCTATCGTCCCTCCACCTCCGTGGAAGGGCGGTTCCCCCTGCCACATTCCCCACTTCCACGGGGGAGCGGCACACCGCCGGCCGGCTCTCTCGAGGGCTGCACAGGTGTTCCCCTTAGATGTTCCTGGTGCATGCCGTCTCTCTCCTCCTTTATAGTCCTCTTCCACCAATCCCAACTCTGCTACCCACACGCCGAGTACGCTGCCCTCCTCCAATCAGGAGCAGGTCCTGCTGTTTATTGGTTGAACTGGAGGCAGCTGTGTAGAAGCTGTTTCTCCCTTCTCAGCGCCATATTGTGGGAGAGCAGATGCATAGAATAAGTCTTAATTCCAGTAACTTAGTCCAGTCCGGGTTGCTCCCCACACTTTGTAAACTGTAGATAATGTAATTTAAAGTAATATATGGGTATTAACTATATTAAAATCTTTTCTCATTCATCTTTTTGTGAAAAAACATATTTTTCTGGCATCTTTTAAGCCTTCCCAACTTTATCCATTAACTAAGGCAGCTTAAGCCTTAATAGGGGAACAATGGGAGGAAGAATTAGTTTTCAAAGACTTGCTCATCAAGTCGTTCTTTCTTAACTCCTGTATTCATTTCAGTTCTTCTAAAAATATCTTGGGACTGGCATTATGGCTCAATGGGTTAAACTGCCACCTTCAATACCAGCATCCTACATGGCACTGGTTTGAGTCCTAGTTCTTCCATTTCCAATCCAGCTCCCTGCTAATGAGGCTGGGAATGCCACTGCTATCCATGTGGGAGACTTGTAAGAAGTTCCAGGCTTCTGGTTTCAGGCTGGCCCAGTCTTGAGTATTGAGGCCCTCTGGGGAGTCACCCAGTGAATGGAAGATCTCCTCTCGCTCTCTCTTTCTGCCTTTCAAATAAATAAATTAATTAAAAATCTTTCTTTGATAACATTACCTTTGAATCATTTTATGAGAAAATGTTCAATTTATTATGAAAATTGGGCCATTTTAAATATATCTGGTTTATTCTAAGTTGTTTTTAAAAACTATTCTTATCTTTCAGAATTTTTGTTCTATATTTGGTGCTTTTTTGTATCTTTTATGATATTATATATCTTTAAGTTGTCATATAAGTTATGAAAAGCCACTCAAGCTATATGGGTAGTAGACTGTCTCAAAGGAGACAGGCTACTGACCAGTATGCTTAACTTTTATAAACCGAGTACAAGTACCACTTTTTGTTTCTTAACTGATTTAATATTTGGTTAGTGTATAAATGAGCATTAGGAATTTGTTTTCTAATTTTTTATTTGTTTTATGTATTTGAAAGCAGGGAGAGACAGATATACTGAGAGAGCAACCTCCCATCTGCTGGTTCACTTCCCAGGCTGGGAGTTGGGAACTCCATCCAGGTCTCCTGTGTGTTTGCCAGGGACCCAATTACCTGAGCGATCACCTGATGCCTCCCAGGATTTGTATTAATAGGAACCTGGAATCAGGGGCTGGAGCTAGGACTCAAATCCAAGCCATCAGATACTCTGTGCAGGCCTCTTAGCTGTTAGGTGAAATGTCTGCCCCTGTATATTATTTTTTATCTAGCAACGGAAGATTACATTTTTGGTGATTTTTTATAAAAATTGTTTTGGAATAGCATGGAATTATACTAGCTAAATCCACCAGCCATAGCACTGTTTCTCCTACTTCTATGTTTTCAGTTTTTCCCTATAAATAAAGTAAAGCACACTGGTACCTGTTGGGTGAGGTACTGAATTATACTGCCAATAGTATATAGTTTGAAAGTTAACTTTAAAAAAAATCCCATTTAGACCAGCACCGCGGCTCACTTGGCTAATCCTCCGCCTGTGGCGCTGGCACCCTGGGTTCCAGTCCCGGTTGGGGCGCCGGATTCTGTCCTGGTTGCTCCTCCTCCAGTCCAGTTCTCTGCTGTGGCCCAGGAAGGCAGTGGAGGATGGCCCAAGTGCTTCCGCCCTGAACCTGCACGGGAGACCAGACCAGGAGGAGGGACCTGGCGCCTGGCTTCGGATTGGCACAGCACACCAGCCGTAGCGGCCATTGGGGGGTGAACCAAGGGAAAAAGGAAGACCTTTCTCTTTGTCTCTCTCTCTTATTATCTAACTCTGCCTGTCCAAAAAAAAAAAATCCCATTTAAGGATTCACTTATTTTCAGAAATTGGTTTCCTGAATACATTTTTGGACATTTGATGTTTTTAAGATAAATTTAGATTAGCCATGAATATTCTGACACCAAACAAGTAATTTCATATACACTGACTTTTTTTCTTTTTTATTATAAAACTTACCTTTGTACTACACATCTTTAACCTCCCACATTTACTAAATTCTTCAATATAATTCCGCTGAAAATCATTCTTTCTCATACCATTTGTGAACTCAGAAAGTTACAAGCCTCTAATACATATTATCTAAAATATACAGATATTTTTGAAAGATATTGATATTTTTGGAATATACACAACATTTTCACTGTCCCCTAAATCCTCTGTGTTCTACCTATTTATTCCTTCCAATCCCCTTTTGACTGACTCCATCTATATTCCCACTAATGATAATTCCTGTTGCTTCATATCTTCATTGGGTAAGTTTTTTTTAAAAGGTTTATTTATTTATTTGACAGGCAGAGTTACAGAAAGAGAGAGGGAGAGGTGCCTTCCAACTGCTAGTTCACTCCCCAGATGGCTGCAATGGCCAGTTAGGAGCCTGGAATTCCATCCAAGTCTCCCATGTGGGTGGTAGTGACCCCAAGCACTTAGGCCATCTTCTGCTGCTTTCCCAGGCTCATTAGCAGGGAGCTGGATCAGAAGTGAAGCAGCCAGGACTTGAACTGATGCCCATATCTAGGTATGCCTCAATGCCAGCCCCAGATATTTCTTTTCTTATTACCTCATGTCTTCTAAATTTCACCCATTTTCATAACATTGCCTATTGTTTATGTCATAATGACTTTCACATCTGCCCTAATGTCTGCTTAACCTCAGCAAATTTGAAACCAAATGCCAATTTTTTGACTATATAACTCTTCTCCCTGGGAAAAAGCCAACCACTATATAACTCAACGTTTATTTCCAGTCATATTCTGCTTTGCATGCCTTTGATATAGAAGCTATAAAAGTTCAATACTTTCTCAGGCTTTTTTTTTTTTTTTTTTTTGCTAATTAGACATAGTAGTCTACAGCAGGAATAGAAGAAAGAAGAGTATCTCAGGAAAAGGTTTTGTTTTCCTATAATAAGGGCCGATGAAATAAGTGCATTCCTTATTCCCTTCATATTAACCTTGAACACTTACCTACTGTCTAGAATTGCAGCAGCCATTTTATAGTCATGAAAAAAAGACCAAAGAAAGCTGGTTCTAGC